CCCCCCCCATCTGCTCCCTAAGCTACCTTCTCCCCATGAAACTTAAAGGGTGTCATTCAAGTAACTATGCCCTCAGCAGCTGTGCACACACCTTCTGTGAACTGTACCCTTGCCATGGCTCTAAGAGGTATCTATGACACTGGAGGCCAGTAGTTCTGCCTGGAGTGGATCCATTTTTGTGTACCAGGTCTCAGGGCTCTCCTGGAAAAGGCAGCAGAAGAGTTAGGGTCTTAATAGGATGTGGGTAAGCAGCAATGACAAGCAGTTCAAGAAGGGATACTTCAACCCACACAGGATTATTCCCCCAGTTGTGAGGGCACCAAGTGGATTATCTAGCCTTGCCCAGTGCTGTTTTGGGATGAGTAAGGATGGGCCTGTGTGCAAGGAACAAAATATTGCCCCTGGCTTGTTCCACCTTCCCTCCCTGGTCCCAGCATTGGTTACTAATCTGTATAGCCAGTCAGGAGCAATGTAATTTAGATGAGTTCAAGTCACTTCTTGCCTTAGTGGCCTTTCAGCTCAGACTTTGACATCACCTTCCCACTGTCACAGAAGTAGCAGTGGCCTGAGAGACCTCCTTGCTCTGTCTTGAAGAGCAATTATTTTCATGACCACTGAGATTAAAAGTGAATGCTCCTCAAAGAGGGTCTTAGTTCTGGGCTCTTATCCAAGACTGGATTTCTTGTGAAAAGTCCCATCTACTGATAGGCTTTTTCCTGGTGAAATCCAGACCCTACATCCCTGCAAAACAGACCAAGGTCCTGAAGCCACTAATAAACCCTGTAAGGGAGACATATTTACCATGAAGTGCTGGAAGAGTGTGTGTCCTAGAGCATTCTTCACATGCTTCTCCACCAAGGGAAATGTGTGGACAAAATACTGCAATAGACCAGGGAGTTGATGTGTAGGGAGTGGGTTTAGAGGGTAGAGCTGCAGAGATGATGTGGCTTCAGATAACTTGTGTCACATGGCAGTGAGTCCCTGACCACCTCCTTTAGTGCTGGTGCTACTACTAGTGGCACTTCAGGAATGCACCAAGTGGAACTTGTGGGTCCCTACTCAAGCCTCACCTTGTTCTCCAGTGCCAGTTCCCACCTTCATTGACGAATAGAGGGAGGATGTTTAAACGTATTATACTGTGTTAAAGTGCAAGTAGTTGCTAGGAAGTCCATCCTGCTGTGCTGTTTGTGCCTGCTTGTACCACAAAGCTGAGCAGTCTGGTTCTCAGCCATTGCTTATTCAGCCCTTCCCATCTACTGACTGCATGGTCGTTCCCTGCCACTGTTACACAGGCAGAGCTGTGCTGGAGCAGACCAGCACCAGCAGGGAAAAATAGCCTTTTTCCAGGCAATTGTCTTGGTTAGCCCCTTAGTTCTGTGTGCTTGCGATCCACAGCAAGCCTGGAGGTAGAACAGAGGTGTGAGGGCTAGCTTCGGCTTCCCAGTATCCTTTGCGTGGTGAGTGGCAGGAGTGGAAATACAGCTCTTCCCTGAAGGAAGTATCGCTCCTGCCTTTGTAAATAAGCCTTCCTGCTATGCTTTGGAAAAAAACCCAAGCAACTAACCAAAAACCCCAAAACAGTGTAGGGAGCCTTCCTGCTCAGGTGCTTTGGGAACAGACCCCATGCTATGATGTCTCACCATGCTCACCTCCAGGGAGATGCTGGCATATCTCTGGGTAAGCACATGATCCAGGTTCCCCACAGCAACCATCAGGCCATGTACCACCTGCATGTGGATCAGCTCTTCAGCCACTTCTGCTGACTCCTTGGCTAAGACACTGCAAGGAGACAGACCATGAGCCCCCACCTTGTATGTGGGAACAAGCGCAATAAATTGAGGCCGGGCCTCTTGGTGTGGCCTCAGTGGCAAATGGTGTGTTCTTACCCTGCCCCAGTGACACCAACAGACAGGATAGTCTCAAAATAAACAAGAAATGTTTGGCTGTGTGTGGTACAGCAATCACTTAACATGTGGGCTTGCAGAGAAATGACTGTTTAAAGATTTGCAGGATCTTCCAGGTATGTATTAAAGCCCAGCAAGTTTCTTGTGTAACCATAACGAACCTAGGACTCAAATGCCACCAACATTACTTCCATGAGCACATCCCTTGAAGACAGTCCCATGTGTCTCCCCACCCACCAAGGGCTGTCAGCTTTTGCAGAAAAAGTGTTCCGATAGCACTATCTTGTGGACACTGCAGGAAATTCATACTGAATGAACCAATTCTAGTACAATTGGCCGAATTTCATTAAAGTCCGTAGTCAGTCATAGGCACTATATTCTTCCACTGGGTGACTGATGTTCTTTTCTACCCAAAGGGAGCCTCTTATCTAAGGTCCCCTTTGTCCTCCTGTAGTTTTTACTCCTGCATTTCTTACCCAACGATTTTTGCAGCAGCTGCCTGCTGAGTATACACCAGCTTAGGTTCCATCAGGCCAAGTGCGGCTGGGTCTGCATGAGGAACATTAGGAATGTGAAAGTGATGCTTTTGAAACACTTTTAAGATGTTTGAAGGGAATTACACTGCTAGCATGAAGGGAGGATGTAGTTTTTCAGGAAACACACCTTAGGGACACCCTATGGCTACATATATGTAAAACCCTGCATGGTTCTGTGTGCATGATGCCCACAGCTAAAAGAGCCTCTCCCCTACGAGTTAGGGTGATGGCTAAGCCCTACAGAAGGCGCTGAGGGACCCAGGGGAAAAACCCTGCTGGGCGCCCTGGCAGACTGCAGCCTGCTGTGTCCCGGGAGGCCTTGCCCAGCTCTTTTACCTTTGGTGGTCTCGCTGCAGAAGGTAAACTCTTTCCTGAAGGGTGGTGTCAGTAACGCCACCAGGCCTTCCAGCAGTGCAGGGCGGACCTGATGGGCCATGAGGACCTTCAGCAGCTGGACGGCTGGAAGAGAGAGGAAAGGCAACGATCATAGTATGAAAAGAAGCTCCCACCCGAAATAGACCGCTGATAAAACAACCGCT